GTGGCTATAGGTAGGAGCCTTAGAGCAGACCCATTGAAAGCAGTGGGGTGTGATTTTCATTGGTCTATTCTGATGTGGACTGTATAGACCCAAGTCAATATTTTCAGGTTTGGGAGGGGAAGATAGAGAACTTTGGCTTGTGAAAATTTTCTTCAGGCCTGTTCCGGCATCTTCTTTCCGTTATTTGCAGCTTTAGTTACTGAGTGTATTATAAACACCTTTTTTTATTCATTTCCCTCCACTCTCTTGTAAATATGGACCAAATATGCTTGGACCAATAATATTTCAGAGCTCTGTTACAAATGTGCAAACATCTTCATGCTCACCATTTTCAAAAGACAGGCCAAGTAGCTGCTTAGTGTTTGTTCAATGCAGGGCTCAATTGTTTTTCAGTTACTTTCAGCATGAATAGGGTTGTTGTTGTTGTTTTTAATGACCAGCAGATCTGGAAGTCTTCATTTAAAGTGAAAGCTGAGATAAATATTGTTCCATTAAGGAAAAAGAGTGAAAGTCTGACCCGAGGTGCCTTCATAAGCATGCTAGACACTTTCACAGGAACCATTTTCACACCTCTAGAGTTCAGATAGTGTCGTATTTCCATCTTATCATCTTATCTTATCTTATCTTATCTTATCCAGTGGTACCTTGGTTCCCGAACAACTTAGTTGTCAAACAAAACGACTCACAAACGCCGCAAACCATGAAGTTTGCAAACTTTTTCAGAAGCCGAACGTCCAGCATGACTTCCACGGTTTCCAATTGAGTGCAGGAAGCTCCTGCAGCCAATCAGAAGCCACACCTTCGTTTTTGAACGGTTTCAGGAGTCGAACGGATTCCTGGAACTGATTAAGTTTGAAAACCAATGTACCACTGTATTTATTATTGAAGTTTTTATTGTGTTAAAGCTAAAACAACAACCTGAGATTAATAATTCCAAACTGTGAAACTGTAAGTAAAATGTATCTTATCAACTTTCCCTTTCAACTCAGGTATTATGTTTTCAGATGTAAAAATAACCTCTTGCACATGGTCCAAGCAGTTTCATTTCATTTTTTACAACAGAGCATGTTGGTAAGTTATTCAGGTTGCCACAATAGGTTGCAAACTGTGGTGTCTCTGCTCTTCTACAAATATTGTTTTCTTGAACATCAGGCATAGCACATCTACAACAGCAACAAATGTGCATATGCTTTTTTTCTATTAAAACCGCTTGGCAACACCCTTCAAAGTGAAGTCTTTGCATGCCCCCCACAAGATTTCAGAGGTGGGGCATGTGGGCATAGTTTGGGAGAAACAGGGCCCCTGTTGGGTCCAATGTGGCCCAAGAAACAGCAATTCCCCAGCCCTGTACTATGACACTGAAAACGACATAGAAGTATCATGCCTATATATTTTGCATTGCTGTAAGGAGAAAAGTTAGGTTAATAGCTGAAGACTCAGTTCCTAAGCACACTTTCTAGGCAATGGTGAGTGCAATGGGAGTTAATTCTGAGGAGTATACTTAGGATCACACTGTATCATTAAAAAATGAAGCCGGAATGCTCAAATATGACTAAGTATTCTTGTTGTGTTATTATTTTACCACCAAATATAGCCTTTCCTCTTGGCTCAGCCTGAAAGGAAGCAGCAGAATCAGTGGTGGCCTCTGTTTTGTTTTGTTTTTTTGTCCTCTTAACTTCCATTCCTTGCTCTCTGAAAAATTCAGCAGGGGCTGATCTTTGCATGTGGGGAAGCAATATTCTTTGCTTATCACCACAGCACTGTGCGAATTAATTGATTTCACACAATGTTTGAAGAATAAAAAATAATGGTTACAATTTCTTATTCAGAAACATTATTATTGTATACATATACATTTCGGGGCATTTTAAAAAATACCACACAGTGTTTCATTGTCACCTCCAGGTATGTAACTTTTGCTGCTGCAATACTCTGTTATTTACTGTAAATGTTCGCCCTTAAACATGAACTGCATAACATAATAATAACAATAACTTGCAGCCCATTTTCCATATGTTGCTGTTCTGCTAAATCCTGAAGACAGGTTAAGAGGTAAATTTGATTTTGGGCGTATTTTGTAGGTGGACTTTTGGAAAGGCCGCAGGCCCACAATTATAGGTCAGCAGTGTGACAGAAAATAAAAATAAAAAGAACGGCAGATATGAAGAGGTTCAGGTGTTATTTATCCTACCCACAAGAACTGGACTGGGATAGAGGGTGGCCATTTACACATTGTCAAAAAAGGATAAATGAAGAGACACACAGGAAGGTGATGGACAGAAGGTGAAGGCTCCTGTGTGAGAGGCTGGGTAGAGAGGATCCCTCAGGGTGGGAGGCTCAGGGAAGAGGCGGAAGCTCCCAGGTGAGAGCTGGGAGGGTTCACACTTCTGTGTGTGGAATAAGGTTTAAGGTATAGGTAAGGTAAAGGACCCCTGGATGGTTAAGTTCAGTCAAAGGTGACTCTGGGATTCTGGCACACATCTCGCTTCAGGCTGAGGGAGCCAGCGTTTGTCCACAGACAGCTTTCCGGCCAGCATGACTAAACCGCTTCTGGCACAATGGAACACCGTGACAGAAACCAGAGCACACAGAAACGCCATTTACCTTTCCACCACAGCAGTGCCTATTTCTCTACTTGCACCGGCGTGCTTTTGAACTGCTAGGTTGGCAGGAGCTGGAACGGAGCGATGGGAGCTCACCCCGTCGCGGGGAATCGAACCGTCGACCTTCTGATCGGCAAGCTCAGTGGTTTAGACCACAGTGCCACCCACATCCCTGGTTAAGGTATAATTGTGATAAAGAGCTTGGTATTATTAACTTCTTATTTTGGTTCCTGTTTTCCTTTCCTTTTCTCTTTTTTCTCTTCTTTTTTGGATTCTTCACTATCCTTCTTAGATTAGTTTGGCTTTTATTGTATTTTATGTTGAAAACTTTCATTAAAAATAGTTCATAAAAAAGAGAGGAAATGCATCGTCCAAAAAAGAAGACAAAAGAGGGCCCTTATTTGCATAAATTTTACAGATACTAATTTTATAGATGTGAACTTAGAAACAATGTCTATAATTTAATAGAAATACAGTTGCTCTCACCATATTGGGAAGGCCTGTGACATGGTGGCTTATTGCAGCAGCTCAAAGTGCTATCTAGAGCTCTTGATGGGCAGTTTCAAGGCTCTTGCGCTTCCGTCTTCAGGACCTCTGCCCTTCCTTCTTGTGGTTCTTGATCTTTAAAATGGAATCAGAGGGATAGAGGCCAATGTAAACAGGAGGTTTAATAATACACTCCACAAAGGTGGTGGAACAGAACTGGGACTAGCACCAACATCTGGAATACTGGGGAACTTGCTGGAGCCTAGCAGCATGTGTAGGGTCCACTGGAACTAACATATTGCTCCACCACCCACCCACTGGGCCTTAGCCACTTTCTCCTCTCCAGTGTATCCTCATAAGCAGGAGGCTGACAGCTGTTCCAGCCCTTTCTTCCCCTGTGCTGTTTCACTTGCAGGATAACTTGGTGGTTTCAATGGCACTGTAATGGCCCAACAGAGCAGCATCTCATCTACCACCCCAATACAAGGCAAGTGAGCCAAATGAGGGAGGATAGAGCACTGGGCTTCAAGCCAGAAGGTTCTCCCATTCTCCAACAAGAGGGTAGTCAGCAGAATCTGGACTCCTGCTCTTTGCTTCTTTGAACAGGAAGAAGGGTAGGTCCACAAGCAGAGAGCTCATCCTGCCTGAAGATCTGTCTTGCAAGATCTACATAAGATCAGAATCACTAGGAATATTTTAATGAAACCATATGTGCCCCTAAGTTGCACCAAAACTTCAGAGTTGATGCCCAAAGACTGAAACAGACCTGCAAATGTACATACCTTAGGTGGACTGCGACAAGGATGTTTCAAGCCATAGCGTTAGTTAAAACCAGTTCAGCTACAAGGAATCTCTCTGTTAATTGATATTATGCTGCTAAATAGAAGAGCTGTTTTCTTCGTGATCACCAGGCCCTCACAATCTGCCTACAGGCTTCCTAGAAATACCTGGTTTGTGAAAAGGTATTATGCCCTTAAACAATGATGTAAAATCTGTGGCCCTCTAGATGTTGTTGATCTGCAGTTCTGAGCCACACTGAAAGCTCGCTTAAGGTAAAGGTAAAGGATGCAGGTGGCGAAGGGACGCGGGTGGCGCTGTGGGTTAAACCACAGAGCCTAGGACTTGCTGATCAGAAGGTCAGCGGTTCGAATCCCCGCGATGGGGTGAGCTCCCGTTGTTCGGTCCCAGCTCCTGCCCACCTAGCAGTTCGAAAGCACGTCAAAGTGCAAGTAGACAAATAGTTACCGCTCCGGCAGGAAGGTAAACGACGTTTCTGTGCACTGCTCTGGTTCGCCAGAAGCAGCTTAGTCATACTGGCCACATGACCTGGAAGCTGTACACCGGCTCCCTCGGCCAATAAAGCGAGATGAGCGCTGCAACCCCAGAGTCGGCCACGACTGGACCTAATGGTCAGGGGTCCCCTTTACCTTTACCTAAAGGACCCCTGGACGGTTAAGTCCAGTCAAAAGTGGCTATGGGGTTGTGGCGCTCATCTCGCTTTCAGGCTGAGGGAGCTGGCGTTTGTCCACAGACAGCTTTCCGGGTCATGTGGCCAGCATGACTAAACCGCTTCTGCCAACAGGACACCGTGTCAGAAACCAGAACACCCAGAAACGCCGTTTACCTTCCCACTGCAGCGGTACCTATTTATCTACTTGCACTGGTGTGCTTTCAAACTGCTAAGTTGGCAGGAGCTGGGACACAGCAACGGGAGCTCACCCCGTTGTGGGGATTCAAACCGCCAACCTTCTGATCAGCAAGCCCAAGAGGCTCAGTGGTTTAGAGCATGGTGCCATCTGCGTCCCTGCTGAACGCTCGCTTATATTGAGCCAGACCATTGGGTCCATCTAGCTCAGTCTGTACTATTGACAGCAGTTCTATAGGATCTTAGGTAGGAGACTTTCCAAGCCCTATCTAGAGAGACCAGGGATTGAACCTGGGAACTTCTGCATGCAAAGCAGATGCTCCCCTCCTGAGCTATGGCCCTGATTCTTGCTCATCATGGCCAGTTATCATGGATAGTCAGAGTTGTAGTCCAACAACACAGAGAGAGCCACAGTTTCTCCATCCCTGTTCTTAAGCAATGGATACATTTTACTGAAATCTGCAAATCCTTAGCACTGACGATTATTGCTGGCTGTTTGCATTTAACATGCCCACCACTTAGATTCACTTGCATTCAAATTAAATTTTATTTGTGAAAAAGATTGCATGAGTTGGATAAAAGGTATGTAAATATTGTCAATAATAGGGACAAAATAATCCAATTTTTAAAATGTCTGTAGGTTAGCCTTGCCTTTCATGTTCCTGCTAATAGTTACTGCTGACTTGCTCAATGAATGTATGTCACAGAGGCCCCTTTTAATTATTACACAGGGCTTTTTAAGTACATAATGTACACAGTCAATTTAATCATGTTTAAATGATATTTTCAGTTCCCAATAATTAAGATGCCAAAACTGCATTAGTATGGACAACAGTGCAAAATTCTATATTTCTGAAGTCATATTATGTGAGAATTTACAATGAGCTCCAGGAATCTGTGGTGTAACTGCTGGCTCTGGTGGGACATTTTTATTTTAGATATCTTTAAAATGCTATGCATTTGACAAATGGAGAAAATAGAAATAGAAAAACTAGTGATGGCGATAATCTGTGAATTTTGAAATGGAGAAGTTAATGGCATTTTCCTATATTCCATATTAGACCTTCATATTAATCATAATTTCCAACTCCTCTTTTTGCAATTTAGTAATTACAACCCTTTCAATAATGCCAAGTTATGAATTCTGGAAGAGAAACAATGTAGAATGGAATCTTACACAGAAAAAGATCACCACTTGTGATATGTTCTCTTCTTTAGTCACTCAACCCCCTATATTATATTAACCCTACATCTCTGAGCTCAGAGCATCTTGGTTTGTTTGTTTGTTTGTTTGTTACAGCATTTGTACCTCACTCTTCAGTCAAAAAGGCTCTCAGAACAGCTTACATACAATCAATTAAAACAAGACAGCCCCTACATACAGGCTTACAATAAACACACACACACACACACACACACACACACACACACACACAGAAAATGAAATCCAAAACTCAGCCACTAGTGACAAGCTGGCACAGTTCATGGGCAGGAGGTGCAGCTGGGTCTCCAGCGAAGCTGATGGAATGAGCCCTGCTTCAGGGGCAGATCTTGGTAACATGCCATCCTGTGCAAGGCCAACATTTGATGCCTTCCACCCAGGCCTCAAGGCGTTGGCTTGGGAGGAGGTGCAAGGCTCTGGCAGGGTCCTAGAGCCCTTGCACCTCCTTCCTAAATCCAGGAAAGGCTTTGAGAAGGCCCCTCCTTGGCTGAACACTCAGTGTGACCGCAGGGCTCACACTGCCCTAAATCTGCCTCAACCTGTTCCCTGTCTCTCCCACTGAGGCAGTCTGATGGAATGGCTACCTGCAGAGGACAGCTGAGGGCAAGGAGGTGCCCCGTTCAGTAGCCTACACTTGTTGGCAGTACTGAATAATAGCTGTTTGGAGGTGAGAATATTTAAAGAGAGGTCTCACTGCTCAAGGCAGAGTACACACTGCTCCCTTTTTATCCCTTCTGAGGCAAGTCAGGCTGGCAGAGGGTGACACTGTGACATGCCTATGGTCACCCAGTGTGATTCATGGCAGATTGGGAATTTATTAAGTCATTAACATGAATCAACCAGCAAAAGAACAGAATACTCACCTGAGATGGGCAAGTATTCAGATTGGTAAGGAGGTATGACTTCTAAATGCAACCCACTCCTGCCACCTATTTCAGTACAGTGGTACCTAGGGTTACGAACTTAATTCGTTCCAGAGGTCCATTCTTAACCCGAAACCATTCTTAACCTGAGGCGCACTTTCGATAATGGGGCCTCCCGCCACACAATTTCTGTTCTTATCCTGGGGCAAAGTTCTCAACCCGAGGTACTACTTCTGGGTTAGTGGAGTTTGTAACCCAAAGTGTTTGTAACCCGAAGCATTTGTAACCCAAGGTACCACTGTAGATTCATACTCATGGGATCAGTTCCTGCCCACCTGCTGAATAAATAAAGTACAAAGGAAAGGTACATTTTCCTTGAGGGGAGGATTCCCCTCCAGGTTTTCCTAGTCCTTGCAAACAATGATTACAAAACTCCGGTCATTTTTGAGGTGAATAGAGAAATAACTGTCCATTTCTAACATTTTCTAAATGAGCTTCGTATTGTTACTTCAAAGGCTGCCTGTCCACTTTTCTTGTTTTTATTCAGAAACTTTAACTGTTTGGTAATTAAGGATGATTTTTCAAACTTCTGAGACCCTTCCATTGTGATATGACAAGTCCTGTATGCTAATGAGATGGAAATATTAGCGTTTAAGAAAAACTGACTCCTTGGCTTGCAAATGACTGTCAGCTACCATATTCTTCTGAATGTATAATCTCACTGGAAATGAAATATTCTAATTGGGTTCCAAATTTACACCAGGATGTATTTATCTTTTGATAAACAGCTGTAAATTTGAAGTCATATTTTTCAATTCTAATTCCCACTCCCCACCCTCAGTCTCTAATACTGGTTACGATTTTTCTCCCAGCATTTACATGATAAAATATACATTTTAACAAGCAATCAGTGAGCAATGTTCTCTTTTGGTGTTGTTGCTGAACAGTTGGAGAAGAGCTGCTAACTCATAATTAAAGAAGTGTGACACTATTTAAAGGCCAAGCCCTCTATCAAAGGTTAAGGATACAGCTGCCTCATCTACAAAAACATACATGTAAATGATGGACTGTTTATTGCAAACAATATTTTATTTGGCTATATCTTGTGCCAACCAATTCTATGAATCCTGTTGTGTTTCCTTCCTTGCATGCAACCTGCTTGGTTATTTTGAACCAGATAACATGCCTTGGCTATGACCTAGTATTATTTACTTGATTTCTTTCCCCCACCCCACGTGTAATTGGTCGAAATTAGTCTAAGGTGGAGCATAAAGCCAACGGGCAAAGCCCAGTTTTCTGAACTGCTTGGCACTTCTCATTGTTTTAAGGATGCAGCAACTCTTCAAAAGGGCTCCCTGTCATTTGCTTTGAAAGAAATAGCCACATTAGCTTGGGTGCTGATTCATTTCCTGCAGATCTCTAAACACAGCCAGCTGTATGCAGCTGAAGGTTAGCTGGATTTAGCCTTGCTACTTTAGGTGTTTTAGAGACTTCCTGAGCCTGGGTGTTGTGGTTCCATTTTTTCTTTATTTAGTTGAGTTTTGGGCCGGAAACACAAAAAAGCCTTAGCAAAACAGACCAACTGTTAAGGACAGATAAAGAGGTGAAAAGGAAGTCCAGGGAGGGATCTAGAGACCCCCTTACTCAGGCTCCTTTGTGTTCCAAATTCCAAGGCCTCACAGAACCCAAAGTAGAGAAGTATCCAAGAAGGGAGAGGAATTACATGAGGCCGCTTCACATTGCACTGTCACACCAAAAGAAATATTACATATTAATTGAATTTATGAACTTTCGTTTGGCAGCTGCATATTATTATTCTGACCACACTAAAAAGAATAAACGAGGATCTTTGAAAGCTTATTTATCTATCCATTTTCCTTTAGGAATTCAGGCTCGATGTCAAAAAAAAAGTCATGATAAAGTTTTCCTACAAAGATCCATTTGTGATATTCTTGTCTGTCAGAAGACGATGTTTAATCATTGTTATTAAATATTTATTTCAATGTGTATAAAGTGTACATTAAAAACAAAAGTATGTTATAGCGATGGACACATTTCTCATTTTCTGAAAGGAAATCTGGCTGTACTCAGTGATTCTTCTTTATTAACATTCCAAATCTATTTTATGTTCTTTTGCAAATGCATTCTCTTTGTTACACTGTTTTCTGTATTGCTGTCATTTTTATAGTTCTTCTACATATTTTTGAACCCTAATATTTGTCTATATTTGACGCATTTTCTAAATATTCTCTTATTAACATTTTTATATAGAGCAAGCCAAAACAAGCTATGCAGTGAACGTGATGTAAACATGCTGTTTCCTTCTGGGCCTTTATAGCTGTAGAACTGATATGGGGCTTCAGAGAAAAGATGTCCACATCCACATGAGTAGGATGCACAGTTACAGTAATCAAGACCAGACCACAGTTATATGTGCAAAGCCCTTCTGAGTCAATTCAAACAGGCTTGGGCTGGTTTGCACCCTATGTCTGCTAAAGGAGGGTCAGATTCTGGTGTGTGTTCATATTTGCACATCTTGTCAAGCAAGAGCAACTGTATCTAAGAAAGATGTTGGATCAGTTAATCAGCATGACTTTTTAGAACTCTTCATTGGCAATATGATCTTTGAGAAAAGCATGATAAACACCGTTTAGGATTGGGGTGTAAAAAGACTCTGCCCTTATTTTTGTTCTTATCCTTTACATCCCCATAAAGTGACCTGTATCTAATAGTGCCTTGTGTGCACATACTGGGGGCCCAGAGACAGACAGAGGACACAAATTATTTCCCTGCTATTGAAGTGTATGGGGTGATCTCCTGTTACAGAGAGCTCCATTCAGATCAGAGCATCCTGTAGGAGCCTCAGTAGAGAGGAGTCACTGCAAACCTGTCAGGAGTAGGCCAGCAATTAAAAAACAACAACACTGGTGTCAGTGAACTCTTATTCAAGAGTAAAGAAACTAAACAATGCAGGCTAGCGGTTATAGCAACTCTTCCCAGAAGGCCCAGCACCAATGAGACAGAGGTGAGGACTGAAGACCTTCCCACTGCTCTCTAAGGATCCTCCCCAGTAGTCTTATCTCTTGTTGCTCCGCCCTCTTCCTTTCTCGGCGTTTTCTGGGAGACCAATGGGGAAGGGAGCTGGTTGTAGCAGCAGCAGGAGGAGATAACCTGGCATCTTCAGCAGCTTGCTTCTATTCAGTATTTTGACTCCCCTCTGCTGCCGCCTCTGATTCTGGACTGCTCTCTGCCACAGCCTC